TGGATTCTGGCAGAAGACAGGATACTCCTGGTCAGAGACACACAACCTATTATGGAATAGCATGTGGCAAGAGTTCCATGTTTGCATCAATTCATCTTGCCTCCCAAACCCCATAAGTATGTTGGAGAGTGTCCCAGACACTTGCTGCACTCAAACTATGTTTGAGTCTTACAGGTGAGGAAGCCAAAGTGAGAAAAACTCATTTCTTTTTTTTGTTCATTTGTTGTGTATTTTTTTTTTATTTGTGTGTGAGAGTGTTTTAAGTAATCAGTAAAAGTTTATTATGCACACAACAACAACAACAATAAAAAGTTCATGAAGCAGGAACACTCCAAACAAATTGTGGGGGAAAGCCCAGGGGTATAGAGTTGTCCCTCCCTATCTATGGGGGACTGGTTCCACGACCCCTACTCAGACAACAAAATCCTTGAATGCTCAGTTCAGTTCAGTTCAGCCACTCAGTCAGGTCCGACTCTTTGTGACCCTGTGGACTGCAGCACACCAGGCTTCCCTGTCCATCACCAACTCCCAGAGTTTACTCAAACTCATATCCATTGAGTATATGATGCCATCCAACCATCTCATCCTCTGTTGTCCACTTTTCCTGCTGCTTTCAATATTTCCCAGCACCAGGGTCTTTTCCAATGAGTCACATCTTCGCATCAGGTGACCAAAGTATTGGAGCTTCAGCTTCAGGATCAGTCCTTCCAATGAATATTCAGGACTGATTTCCTTTAGGATGAACTGGTTGGATCTCCTTGCAGTCCCAGGGACTCTCTAAAGTCTTCACCAACACCAAAGTTCAAGAGCATCAATTCTTCGGCGCTCAGCTTTCTTTATGGTCCAACTCTCACATCCATACAAGACTACTGGGAAGACCATAGCTTTGACTAAATGGACCTTTGTTGGCAGAAAAAAAGTCTCTGCTTTTTAATATGCTGTCTAGGTTGGAAATAGCTTTTCTTCCAAGCTTTTCTTCCATGTCTTTTAACTTCATGCCTGCAGTCACCATCTGTACTGATTCTAGAGCCCAAGGAAATAAAGTCAGCCACTGTTTCCACTATTTCCCCATCTATTTGCCATGAAGTGATGGGACTGAATGTCATTCTCTTAGTTTTCTGAATGTTGAATTTTGAGCCAATTTTTTCACTCTCCTCTTTCAGTTTCTTCAAGAGGCTCTTTAGTTCTTCTTCACTTTCTGCCATAAAGGTGGCATCATCTGTATATCTGAGGTATTGATATTTCTCTCAGCAATCCTGATTCCAGCTTGTTCTTCATCCAGCCTGGCATTTCATATGATGTACTCTACATATAAGTTAAATAAGCAGGGTGACAATATACAGGATTGACATACTCCTTTGCCAATTTGGAGCCAGTCTGTTGTTCCATGCCCAGTTCTAACTGTTGCTTCTTGACCTGCATGCAGATTTCTCAGGAGGCAAGTCATGTGGTCTGATATTCCCATCACTTTAAGAATTTTCCACAGTTTGTTATGATCCACACAATCAAAGGCTTTGGCATAGTCAGTAAAGCAGAAGTAGATGTTTTTCTGAAACTCTCTTGCTTTTTCAGTGATCCAACGGATGTTGGCAATTTGATCTCAGGTTCCTCTGCCTTTTGAAATCCATCTTGAACTTCTGGAAGTTCTTGGTTCACATACTGTTGAAGCCTGTCTTGGAGAATTTTGAGTATTATTTTGCTACTGTATGGGATGAGTGCAATTGTGCAGTGATTTGTACATTCTTTGGCAATGCTGTTCTTGGGATGGGAATGAAAATTGCCTTTTTCCAGTCCTATGGCCACTGCTGAGTCTTCCAAATTTGCTGGCATATTGAGTGTGGCACTTTCACAGCATCATCTTCTAGGATATGAAATAGCTCAACTGGATTCCATCACCTCCACTAGCCTTGCTCATAATGATGCTTCCTAAGGTCCACTTGACTTCACATTCCAGGATGTCTGGCTCTAGGTGAGTGATCACACCATTGTGGTTATCTGGGTCATGAAGATCTTTTTTATGCAGTTCTTCTGTGTACTCTTGCCACCCCTTCTTTATATCTTCTGCTTCTGTTAGGTCCATATCATTTCTGTCCTTTATTGAGCCCATCTTTGCATGAAATATTCCCTTGATATCTCTAATTTTCTTGAAGAGATCTCTCGTCTTTATCATTCTATTGTTTGGCATATATTGCAAATAGATGTCACAATATAAATGGAAAAATCTATTTTAAAGAAGACACACATACAAAATATGTTGCATGATACAATTCATGTAGATTTCAAACCATCACATAATTAATACTGTTATAAGACAGAAGAGTGGTCGCCTTCAGGGAGGGTATAAATAAGAACAAACTGAATAGATAATAGGCTACTAGTAATGATCCATTTGTAATAAAAATAGTTGTTTAAAATTGTGCTCATTTTGATACTTTATTATGCTGATCGCTTATGATTTTAATTATATTTAAAAGTATAATGAAAACTTCAGATATTTGCACAATTACAAGGTCAATTTTTATAACAAAGATACATGCTACTATACAAAATCACTTTGAATTCACTTAGTAATTTTATTTTTACATTTGTGTGCCATCATTTAGTGTCTGAAATCTTTTATGCAGCACAGAGGAAAATGACTAAATTGATAATCCATTGGTGGATAGATAGATAGATATACAAATCATACATATATACATCTTTATAGGCATATACACATAAATATGTGAATCACTGAAACCATCACAAGCTTGAAGAACTTATTTTATTTAAGAACCTCTTTTATGTATTAATATATATATATATATATATACATATTTTATGGAAAAATCTATGTGCCATATTTTCAAATTAGCAACATTTTGCAAAATCTTAGGAAATACTGTTACTATCAAAAACCTATTATCCTTACCTTTTTACTGTGTTATAAGAAATGAATAATTAAAAAATAATTTTATAGCCTACAAATCACTTACTGTGGACTTAGAAATTCATACTTTTCTTAACTAAATAAGCATTTTGCAGGAAAACATAAACATTAATAGTGTTGAATTAGTGGATAGTAAAGCAATATATCAGAATCAGACATGACTTAGTGACTCAACAACAACATTCCAGCTGGTGTGTGGTGGCACCTCACTGTAATTTCGATTTACATTTCTGTAATTATTAGCAATGATGAACATTTTCTTTTCATGTGGCCATTAGCTAGCTGCATGTCTTCTTTGGATAAATGTCTATTTAGGTCTCCTTTCCATCTTTCAATAGACTTGTTTATTTTTGTTGTTGTTGTTGTTGAATTGTATGAGCTGTTTGTATATTTGAAAATTAAGCACTTAGCAGTCACATCATTTGCAAATATACTCTCCCAGTTCATAGGCTGTCATTTTGTTTTTTTTTATGGTTTGCTTTACTATGAAAAACCTTCTAAAGTTAATTAGGCTTCATTGGTTTATTTTTGCTTTTATTTCTATTACCTTGGAAGATTAATCTAAAAAAACATTGTTACAATTTACGTCAGAGAATGTTTTGCCTATGTTCTCTTATAGGAGTTTTCATGTCTTATGTTTAAGTCTTTAAGACATTTTTAGTTTATTTTTGTGTATAGTGTGAGGATCTGATGCTGAATGTAATGAGGAGTTAAGGAGGACCCTCCTATACTGGTGAGGGTATGTAAATTGGTACAGTCACTATGGAAAACAATATGGAGGTTCTTCAAAAAATTAAACATGCAGTTACCATATGATCTAGCAATTCCATTGTTGAGCTTATATCCAGAAAAAACTATAATTCAAAAACATACATGCACCTTTATGTTCATAGCAACACTATTTACCATAGCCAGGGTATAGAAGCAACCTAACTGTCCATCAACAGATAATGGATAAAGAAGTCCACACACACACACACACACACTGGAATACAACTCAGCCATAAAAAATAAAATAGTGCCATTTGCAGTAACATGGATGAATCTAGAATTTATCATACTTAGCAAAGTGAGTCAGAAACAGAAAGACAAATATTATATGATATCACTTATATATGGAATCTAAAATATACCAGAAATGAACATATCTATGAAACAGAAACAGAGTCACAGGCATAGAGAACAGATTTGTCATCACCAAGGGAGTGTGGAGTTGGGTAGGGAAGGACTGGGAGTTTGGGATTAGTAGATGCAAATTATTATGTATATGGAGGATAAAACAATAAGGTCTTAAATGTAAAACACCAGGAAACTGTATCCAATATCCTGTGATAATCCATAATGCATAAGAATGTGAATTACTTTCTTGTAGAGCAGAAATCAAAACTACAGTTTTATTGTTGATTCAAAAAAATTATAGATATAAATATAAATATATATATATTTATGTAAATATATATGTGTGTGTGTGTGTGTATAATTTAGGGGAAAAAGCTGAAATTCCCTGAGGAGCTAAATAATGGCAATATATGCAAATACTATTCTGCATAGTATTTTTATTCATATATATTAGTTGGATGGACTGGTAGGTAGAATTAAAATTTTTTAACTCATCAATAAGTTGATAATGTTAATAAGTACCTAGACTTCTTTAAGTCTTCCCTGGTGGTTCAGATAGCGAAGAAGCTGCCTGCAATGTAAAAAAAAAAAAACAACTTGTATCCATGAGCAACTAAACAGGTTACAATAGTAAAAGGCAATGTAAGGTTATACAGAGGATTTAACAAAAGACACGTGAATGTCAGGGAAGTTAGGATTACATCCAAGCTTAACAGATAAATGTTTAGATTCATACTTCTGTCATATCATCCAATAAATTAAGCCTATATGAAAAACTGCAACAACTTTTATTATGATGTAAATCAATTGGTTATTTTAAAACCACCATTTAGTCAGTAAATGTTTATGAAAGTAAATACCAATATTAGGCTGAGTAGTAGAAAACATAAAACACAAGGAAAAGTGGCTCCTCTTGTTTTTTTTCCTTTAACTCTCAGGGTTCTTGGCTGTTTATGATGTCACCACTGAGCATCACTAATTTGAACTCACAATGCTTAAGTCCTGGAAAATCTTAGGTGGGGGAAATGTCTGTGCCAAGATTGTAAGTCCTCTTATCAAATTTTATCTTTTAAAATAACTGAAACTCTCTAGTTAACTTTACATTTTTTCTCTTCAGTGTAAAGAGATGTTTGCTATATTATTTTATTCCACTAACAAACAGAGAACATGTGTTTAGTAGACACTTATGTTTCCAGCAGCATCATAAGTTGTTTTGATACAAGCCTTAACTAGTTCACTCAAGTAAAATATATATATGATGATGGATAATTCTTTTTCAATGTGATTCTTCATTTTTTATTATATTGTATTTTGGATCATATAAAATGAAAGAATACATGATTGATATTCAGAGAACTATCATCTCCTTAGAGGACATTTGGAAATTTATGGGAACATGTTCTTTGTCACCTAGACTAAGGAATGTTACTGAAATTTAGGGGACATAGGTCAAGGGTGTGAAAACTTTGGTAGTAAGTGGCACAGCCCAACATAAAGAACAGCTAAACACTAGATGTATTTCCTTGAGAAATATTGTGTATGCAAAAGTACTTTGCAATTAGAAGCAGATTATCCAGACCTAGGATGATAATAGTATACTTATTCTTAAATTATCTTGTGTTAAAATGAAGTAGAAAAATAAAACTTTTCAATTATTTAAAGTTTTTTTCTTTTTTTTTTTTAACTGTGAAGACATGGGACAAAGGTGAAGGCATGTAACTGTGAAATATAAAGGAAAGTGTAACTGGATTTTCTTTGAACACTACTGTTAAAGAAAAGATAAAACACAAATCTTGAGAATAAAACAGGCTTCCCTGTGCCTACCTCTTTATAATGCAATCACTACTTTAAAGGACAATCTTTAGGAAAATGTTTATAATTGTCATGATTGCTTTTTAAATGTTGTGTGACTTGCTGACTATTTCACAGTAATCTCTGCTCAGGCATACACCATGACAGAATAACATTATATTGTAATTTCTTAAAAATGTTTCAGTGCAATAAAATACTGATGTTATTATTATCATGAGCATTGTGTAGCTTTCATTATCATGATCATTGTGTAGCTTTCAAAGAATTTCACCATAATGGTTAAAAACTTTATTTTTGGTTTTAGGATTATTTTTATAATGTTGGTTTCTACTGTAATCCCCAAACACTTGTGCTATTATAGAATAAAAGTGTGGTTGAATTCATAATCAAATAGCTTCATTTTTGGCCAATGACATACAAAAATCCTTAATAAAATTATCATATAACTTCTATCTCAAGTGGCAGATTCTCATTCTCATTTTGAAATGCAGAAAATAAATTTCTACTTTGTCTTACCTCTGAATTTGTCTGGCAATGATAGGAACTTAATATTAGGCTTATGCTTCTGTTCCATGACTACCAACTTCGTCCCTGATAAATAAAATTCTCCTCATTGAGCTCACTATGCCTTCCTCCCATTTATTCTTTAGTATCTTTATTCATCCGAACCTGAAGAGTTTTACCTTGTCTTGCTTTCACCTCTAATTCAGGTTGTGTCAGTTAACTCTACCCTTCCATTACTAATTTTAAGTTTGTCTAGGACATCTGAAGGAAGTGGAGAGGTTTCCCCCAAAATTTGGCATTACATATGGTATCTAAAAATCTGAACTTCGAAAACTTTCAGTGTTAGCTTCCATATCTCATATCCATTGTGCGTTTTATCTTTCTCTTCCTTACATTGCATTAATAAGTTCTTTCTTACTCTCTTGGCCTAGAGACTCACCTTGATATATAGAACAGGGTTTACCAACCTGTACAGTTGACAAGTTTTGGTCAACCTGTCATTTCAGGTTGACCCCTAATTTTAGGAGGGGTAACTCTTTTTTGGAGTTGAAGACGGGTAGGGTTGTGCAGGGAGGAATGGGAATCCTGTGCATTGTAAGATGTGTAGCAGCATTCTTACCCATTAGATGTCAGTATCAGCAAGTGTGTGTGTGTGTGTGTGTGTGTGTGTGTGTGCACGCGCGCGCGCACTTACAGTCATCCCTCACCAAGAAAATCCCATGTGGCTCATGACATTTGCCTTTATTTAGAGACACCTCTGCAAATACAAGATTAACTCAGGCCCCTGCAGTCCCTGGAAAACTTTTTACTAAGTGTTCTGTGCCCTTATTTACTATACTATTGATACAGAACCCAAAACTCCAACACCTGTTGACTGGATATATTGGGATATTCACACATAAAGGCTGTCAATGGGCATTTCAAATGAAACTGCAGGCACCAAGATATGGAAGCAATGTAAAGATCCATCGACAGATGAATGGATAAAAATGATATATATGCCACATCTCAGTCACATCTGATTCTTTGTGACCCCATGGACTATAGCCTGCCAGGCTCGTCTGTCCATGACATTTTCTAGGCAAGAATACTGGAGTGGGTTGCCATTTCCTACTCCAAGGGATTTTCCTGATCCAGAGATCAAACCTGTGTCCCTTGTGTCTCCTCAATTGGCAGGCAGATTCTTTACCACTGTAGTGGTACCTGGGGAGCCACTGTATATATACATATTATTATACATATATGCATAAGGAGAAGGAAATGGTGACCAACTCCAGTGTTCTTGCCTGGAGAATCCCACGGACAGGAGCCTGGTGGACTACAGTCCATGGGCTGCAAAGAGCCAGACACAACTGAGCACATGTCTGACTCGCGCTCATTTATATATTTATGTACACACACACATATATGTATTATATATATATATATGAAATAGAATATGGCTCAGCCAGAAAAAAATGAATGAAATTGTGCTACTCTAACAAAATAGATAGACTTGAAGAATGTTAAGTAAAATAAGTTAGAGAAAGAAAAATACTGCATGATATCACACATAGAACCTAAAAAAATAAAACAAACTAGTGAATATAACAAACAAGAAACAGACTCAGAGATACAGAAGACAAACTTGTGGCTACCAGTGGGGAGAGGGAAGTGAGGAGGGGCAATAAAGAGGGAGGCAATAAGAGTTGCACAAACCAATATAAATAAAGCTACAATGATATACTGTACAACATAGTGAATATAGCCAATATTTTATAATAAGTACAAATGGAAATGGACTATAACCTTTAAAATTGTACATCTACTATAACATAAAAAGACTTCAACAAAATGAAATTGGAGGCAATATCACATTATTGAGAGTCCTTACCCTATGAATTTATTATTCATTTTTATAATTATTTCCAAACAAATATCCTATTAAAGGAAAAAGGAAAAGCAGGTGTATTTTGTTCTTATATTAAGTTTCCAGACCAAAACTAAATCCTACAAATTTGTTTAAATGTGTAACCCTTTAATAAAGTACAATTTCCAGTGGTAATATGAAAACAGTATTTTCTCTTAAAATATGATCTCCTCATGCTCCTAGTTTGGGATCCCAACCTTTTATTCAGGAAACTCTAAAGCTAGCTTCCCTTTGTTAAGTCATGACCATATTATATTTCATAAAGCTGACAATGTGTATCTTCTTTACATAAAAAAACTCACAGATACTGAAACTTTTTTCTAACAACTAGATGTGTGGATCTGAAGTAAAGGTAGATTTGTGGCTTCTGTATTCCATTTAATCTTAGTTAAGATGATGTATTAGTTATTCTGTATGTATGTATAATACAAGGTGTGAGTGTGTGTGTGTGTGCGCGCGTGCACTAAGTTGCTTCAGTTGTATCCAAGTCTTTGTGACGCTATGGAGGACTCTTCCAGGCTTCTCTGTCCATGGGGAGTCTCCCGGCAAGAATACTGGATTGGGTGGCCATACTCTCCTCCAGAGGATCTTCCCTACCCTGAGATCGAACTCACATCTCCCTCTTTGTAGGCGGATTGTTTACCGTCCCAGCCACCAGGAGAGCCCAAAGACCTTAATATATGTATTCAGAGACCTTAATTCAAACACTAATCGCATCACAGAATAACAGCCTTTCGACTTAAATGTGTTTCTTCTTCTTAAAGTAATTAAATTAGACCATTTCCAAACTTTTGAGGGACTTCTTTAATGAAGGATAGAAATAAATTTATATTCACATAAAAATAGTTTTTAAATAAAACCTATTAAAACATATACTGGCAGTTTGTGTTGTTTTTGTTTTTTTTAGTAAGAAACTTCAAAAATTAAATCTGAATACATCCTTGTCTAAAATAAATTTCTTGACTGTTAACAGAGAGGCAAGGAGAGAGACTCGATTACTAGCAGAGCCAGACTTGGGGGAACTATTGAGTCCTAAAATAGTAAATTGATTTAACTGCTTATGATGTGTGTAAATTTACATAGTGAGTGAGAATTCTGATATTCGGATCATTGCTATTTTGGGGTCCTATACATTTTCTTCAGTAAAAATAAAATTAAGTGCATTGAATTGTCGTTAACCTTAGCCTAGCCAACCTTAAGAAACAGGAATTTCAACCATTTCATTAAGTTACATTTTGCAGTTTATACTCAGTCCATTCTTCCCCTCTTCATAAATGGCTGCTAAGTTACCATTCAAAATCTTTCCTATTCCTGAAAATCATACAAATTAAATCATAACATACATATGCTTTAATTTTTGATTTCTGGAATATTTTTTTTTTCTTTCAGTACAGCATTTTTTTGCATCATCTGCGTTGCATGTTGAATACACTAGTAATTCATTCCTCTACACTGCTGAGTAGTATTCCATTACATGGATACACTGCACTTAGTTTACACATTCCCCAATTGATTGCTTTAGTTTTTGATTACTATGGGGTACTTCAGTTTGGGGTTCTTAAGAACAAAGCTGCTATAAATATTTTCCCCAAGTTTTTGATAGAGTTCTCTTGGGTAAGCTACTAGTGAAAATGCTGAACCATAAAATATGTGTATGCCTAACTTTATTTTAAAAATATCATATTATAATCAAAATTGATAGTACTATTTGTATATCCATCATTGATGATGAACATGTCAGATGCTCTATATTGTAGCTGATGACTGGTGTCATTAATCCTTAACACTTTAGGTATTTTAGTGGGTTTAAAGGGTTC